CGAGATATTATACATCGAATAACTATTAATCCTACTTTCTTCGATTTATCAACTGGTCATGTTTTTCATGCTGAGATTCTCAAGCATCAAATCTTTTTAAATGAGAACGAAACTGAAAATAATAGCAATGAATTCATAATGAATTCTGATGTTCTCCTCATTGCTTTTCATCATGCAGCATTTGATCGAGCAAGTTTTCCGATCTTTTTTGATGTTCTATGTTTCGCTTATAATACTAATGCAATATCAATAGAAGATGATGATGAATCATTGCAATATATTGATTATGCTGTGCATGAACATCTAATCGATATGACAAAATCTCGTGAATTTTGGTATTCACAATTTGAGGGATTTAATCTGAAACGCCGATTGTCGTTACCAATCGATCAACGTGGTTCACCTAATGATCAACGATCTAGTTGTGCTTCTATCGCTCAAATCTTTTTTGAGAACGAGATTTCACAATTATTTCGTGATTATGCTTCTATACATCATGTGACACCATTTCAATTAGGTTTGAGCATATTATATGCCTTTCTTTTCAAGTTAACTCATGGTGAAAATGATTTATGTATTTCTTGCCATAATGCTAATCGGTACAGACCTGAACTGCAGAATATAATAGGCATGTTTGTTTCAACATTACCATATCGTGTTGAACTTGATCCTCATTGGTCATTTGATGATCTTGTTAAATATGTACAAGAAAAATGTTTATCAGTTCTTGAACATTCTCATTATCCACTTCAACATATTCTTAGTGATTTTCATCTTAACCAATCAACCGTTCCTTTTCTTCAAACAGTTTTTGATTTCATTACTGTATCTTCAGTTAACGATCAGTTTACTTTCGATGATGTTAGTTTACAGCCCGTATCAGTAAAAGAGTTTCCAGAAGTGGCTAAATTTGATTTTAAAGTGATATTTGTTTACAATCCAATGGCAGTTGACAACATATTATCATGTCGTTTCACTTGTTCACGTGATCTATTTGAAGATACGACAGTTACAAAAATGATACAAAGATTTCAATATCTTTTCGAACAAATTTTTTCAATGAATCTCAATGTTAATCAGACTGATTTAATTGTTTCACCTATTGCCAAACTTACTCTTATCTTACCAGACGAAGTGAATGAAATGCAACAAGTAGCCTTTTATCGTCAATCAAATGTGACGAATGAAGGTATGTCTATTTCCTATTTGTCATATATATATATATATAATACTTTTATTGATGTAGATCAGTTAGATGAGAGAGACATGTATGATATGTATGAATATTATATTTCCAAAGTTAAAAGCATTGACTGACTTGTGTGAGTTCAAGAAGCATAACGTTAGTCTATTTTTTAATACAGAATAAAAATACAAAATATGTAAAGATCTCACTAATCTTCGATGTCACAACCTTTCAAACGTTTTTGCAGATAGAATATTATATATAAGTAGATGAAGTGTAGTAGTAATCATAAGCATAAGAATTGTGGTTAAAAAGGTATTAAGTTGTTGGTATGATTTATTTCGACTAGAATGCTAAGAATAATATGACAATTGAGTAAAACATAGTTTAGTTTATAAATTCTTAGATAGTTTTTTTAAATATTTATCTGACATAATAAAATTCAGATTTAATTCAGAAGATAATGAGTTATATCAACATTGATGGCAATTCTGTTATCTTATAATAATCTAATTATTGTATTGTCAACTCTGTTTCTGTAAACATCAATTAAAACAACGACATATTTTAGTGACGCTAACTTATCTTTTTTTAATTAAGATTAGGTACTGTTTAAGTACAAATCGCTTCTTTACACTATAGTTTGACGCTTTTTAGGCAAATTTATATTTATAATTTTAAATAAAACTAACCATTTTTTAGAGAAATCCTTTTTAAATATATGATGATGAATACAAGAATATGATCAATAGAAAACTATTCGACGTTTCGGTAGCTTAAATGCCATACATGAGAAAGTAAAAATCAACATCTGTAACACAACATTAACATTTAATTGATTATCCTTCTTTCACTTTATTCAGTAATACGAAAATGAATTAAAAGTACATTTTACATAGAATAATTATCAGTCTTAAAATTAATCGCCTGTTCATACTTTGGAAAATTAATTATCTTAAACTATGGTACACTTTTCAGGCAATTTTTTTTTGAAAAGGTGTATATATGAAGAAAGAATAGACGACATAATTAATTATGAAGAGCTATCAAGACATTATAAAAAGTATTAAGGACATCAGTTGATAAAAAGTGTATACTAATTTCTAATCCCATCGTATTTTAAATATTATTTAGTTTAATATTCAACTTTAATACATAGGTTGTTTTTCAATCGATATGCTGTAAAATTCTCTGTAAAGTATGTAGTAAATATTTTATTCCAGAATACAAAAGTGAAATATTGTATAAAAATTCGCCAAAATCTCAATTTTAAAAAATATGTCTTTACTTTTGTTCTTTGACTATCTGAAACAAAAAGTTAAATTAATCTAGGGATGTGCAGTATCAGTATACTGAACACCGATAATATTACACTGACGGTCAGTGCATCAGTGATGATACCGACACTGTCTGCACTGAGAGTACAGTGTACACCGATATGGTGTTCACTGCCTCAGTGGTCACACCGACACTGTCTGAACTGCGACTACAGTGTGCACTGATACTATGCTCACTGAACTAAAGATTTATATAGTATTCAACCTGACACGTAATTTGAACATATCGATGAACACAGTGTCAATGTACACCGTGCTCTCAGTTCCAGCAGTGTCGGTATACACCGCACCCTCGGTTCGGACAGTGTCGGTGTGACCACTGAAGCAGTGAACACCATATCGGTGTACACCGTACTCTGAGTGTAGACAGTGTCGGTACAATACTCACAGCTTTTCAGTGTTCTCACTGAAACTGCACATTCCTAAATTAATCATCTTATGATGCTTGAAAAACTCTAGCTTTTAGTCATATTTACGATTCTTCTGCAGTCGAACATACGTTTCTAGTTAGTAGTTTTACCATAGAACATCGTTAAAATAGGAAAAGTAAAAAACGTTGGATGAAATTTCTCATATAGCCTTTTACTTTTCCAATTTGTAAATAAAGCGCTCGTTACATATTCTGTAAAGAATTTCACGATTTACCTGTTAAGGAAAATCTATGTTCGTATTGAATATAAAGAAGTTACATCAGAAATAGATAAAATCAAAACGTACTACTTATCATAGATTCATATACGAAGTTGTAATGCTTTTGACTACTAGATATGATGAACATTTGAAATGGTAATGGCAATTGAATGATATAGTTAAATAAAGTAAGAAACTGAATAATGAGCTAGATGAATTATAGGATACATCTATTAATTGGTGAACCTAGTTCGATTTCAATGAGTTTGTTTGTTATAGCACCAGCATCATTTGCACAAGCTCGTATTTGGCTCGACGAACAAATTCGTTTCAATTCTAATCAATCTCAAGTAGCAATCTATAACACGTCTTTTGTGTATCGTCTCCATTTAGGATATACTTTATCAATTAAACAACTTTATCGCGCTCTTCAACTAGTCGTCAAAAAGCATGAATCACTTCGTACGTCACTCATATTTCATAAAGAAAAGAATCTACTTAAGCAACAAATTATTGATTTGAACGACAGTAACAATGCACTATTTTCTCTTATTGAAAGTATGTTTGAAACAGATGAACAAATCAACAAAATTTTATATGATGAACAACAAAACACGCAACATTTTGATATCTCCCAAGGTCTTGTCTTCCGTTGCCACCTTGTCTACTACAAAGAAATCTCGGCTAATGATCTTCTTTCTGATAAAGATGTAATCATCTTTAATTTTCATCATGCTTTATTTGATTTTTCATCAATGAATATATTTCTTCATGATCTCAATCAAGCATATACGACAGGTCAATTATTATATGATGACAACACTCATCTACGTTATCTCGATTGTAAATAAATATAGCTCTTGCATTTTTATTTTCTCTAATACATTCTTTTCTTTACTTATGTAGATGCTGTTATTGAACAACAAATGTCAATGACCGGCGCAAGCATGTTTTGGCTCGATGCTCTTCATGATTGTAAGCTTGATCAACCTTTGCCATTGCCATATGATCGATATCGACTTCCAAGCGAACATCGAACTGATCGTGTAACATCTATTTCTTTTGATTTTGGTCCAAATCTGTCACAATACTTTCTTATTTATGTATCATCCAATAACATATCATCTGAACATCTCATACTTGCTATTTATTTTCTCTTCTTATTGAAATTAACTAATGGAGAGGACGATTTATGTATTGGAATGACTGTCGATAATCGATACAGAGATGAATTTAAATCAATCATTGGATTATTTGAGAACATAATTCCATTAAGATGTCAACTGGATCCTCAATGGTCTTTTCATCAACTCCTTGCGTGCGCTCAAGAGTTTGTAACAAAAAGTATGAAGTATTCCTATTTTCCTCTTCAACGAATCCTTGATCAACATTCTAACATATCAAATCCTGCTTTTATTAAAACATCATTTGAATTCATATCAACTACAATACAAGATAATAAGAATACGATAATACTTAATGATAATCAACTTTCTTTACTACCATTTTCACCGAAGATTAGTGGAAATGAAATAATGAATAAATATGATTTTATCACTAGCTTTCAGCATAACCTAGATGTGAATGTACTATCATGCACAATCAATGCATCACTTGACGTATTCAATGTAGAAACAATTGATAACATATCTCAACGATTTCATTCAATGTTGAAACAATTATTTACATCTGTTGATGATCAAACGAATAAATCAATCCATGAAATATCATTAACATTAGCAAATGAAAGATTACTTATGCAATCA